AACTGTGTAAGAAGGATCTGTTCTGGGTCTGTATCTCACCTTCAATTGTGGATTCCCTGAAATCAGGGGCCATAGCCTTCTTCTCTGTCTTTGAATTCCAAGAACCTGGCACAGTGCCTCACACAGAAAAATCACACAATTCCATTGTTGAAGGAATGAATGAGATGAGTGAAGGGATTAAGGAGAAGCCAGGCAAAGTGAGATTTCTGAATTATAGTGAAAGAAGAAAGATAAAGGACGCAGCCAGTGGAGCCTGAGGTTCGGCCTCCTTTTGTTTTTCATTACTGTACAGTAAAATGTGGGTGTGGGTGTCTATACCTGTCTGTAAATTTTCACACCTGTGTAAATTCATGAAATCACCACCACAATCAGGATTCAGAACAGCTTCATCATCGCAAATACCACCCCATCTTGCTACTTCTTTATAATCACTCCATCTGAGGGTTGTCTTTTGACACATTAGGGAAAAGAGGGAGTTTAGATATGAAGATGAAGGGGTTAGTTTAGTGATTTTCATGGTACTAGTCTGTTCTTGTAGAGAATTACTCTGAGGCAACGGGTAAGGGAAGATAGGCAGAAAGCTTGCCCCCACCCCAGACCTTCTCTGCATCAGGTATAACTCTTGTCATTGTTGGTTATGACAGTGAATTTCAACTCACAGTAAGTAACGCTGTGTGGCAGAGAAGAATTGTCCCTTAGAGTTTTCTTGGTAATCCAGTTTACTGGGTCTTTCTCTGGGGCTGCTGGGTCGATTCACACTACCCAGTCTTTTCATTAGTAGCTGAGCTCTTACCAATTATGCCACCAGGACTCCTTGCTATGGTTCTTAGCTGAATTATATATGTTACCTCATGTAATCATCAAGAAGAACAAACTACTGTCCCAACGTGGTCCTGGTGCTATGAAGGTACAAAGAAGGGTGGTACAAAGAATGGCCATTCTGTCATCAACTAAGTGGTGGCTGCAGAGCACAACAACATTCACAAGCACATTCATGGCAGAGGCTTTAGCAAGCATGCCCTTGGGCACACAAAGAGAGTCGGAAATTTACCATGAAGGAGATGGGAACACCAGATGTTCGTACTGACACCAGTCTCAACCAAGACGACTGGGCCAAAGGAGTAAGGCTTGTCTCATATTGCATCTGTGTACAGTTGCTCAGAAAACATATGGTAGCTAATCTCAATCTCTCTCTCTCCCCCCCCTCTTTCTCCATCCTTCCTTCCTCCCTCCCTCTCTTCCCTTCCTTTCATCCTCTCGTTTCTCTCTCTTTTTTCTCTCATTTTCCTCTCTCTCTCTCATCTATTTATCTATACAGTGGCTGCCTAGGTATCAGTTACTACTTTCAAAGATCTACTGTCAGCCAATGTGGATGAAAACTAACAGATGATTATCAAATGAAATTATAAGGATTCCACAAGAAATAGTGAAATAGCTTTTGTTGCTATTGTTGTTGTTATTATTATAAAAGTGAGAACATTTGCCAACAATCCCACTCAAACTCAAAACCTCCACTCAATTGCTGTCATGTTGGAACTGATGCACAGCTAACCCTCCGGCAGGGTTTCTGAGGATAAATGACACAGGAAGAGACTGCCAATCTTTCTCCTGCAGAGTGGCTCATGGATGTGAACCACTAGAGAGGAGGCATGGCCTTTGAGTTTGCAGCAAAACACTCGAAAGACAATTCCACCAATGCTCTTTAAGAATCTCACAGCCTGCAGAAGTTGGAGACAGCATAACTCCCTGTCACATTCTATCGTTTGTAACCACTTGATTTTGAAGACTGTAGACAGCACTGGGCAACACTTGCTCTTACTCATGTGGAAGTTACATGTTGGAAAAGTTTCACAAAGCTGCTGCTACCAGAATTATTCACCTTACTCCCAAGACTACAAAGTCTAAACTATAAGTTGTTGTACCTGCAATTTGTTATGTGCTGTCGAGTTGCCTGCAACTCATACTGAACTTATGACAACAACTCTAAATCCTGCTGTCCTATGTCAATGTTACTGTCTCTGATACACCTACCCTCATTACACCTGTAAGTTAAGACTAGCAAAAATCACTTGCTTAGCTCAGTAAAGACAAAGAAAAAAATAATTTCATGAAAAAAAAATCGTGATGATATCCAGGAACAGGAAAAGATTGCCAACTGTCCTCATTTTAAAAAAATCCAGGTACAGCAAGCACAAGGAACCTGATCTCCTTTCTAACAATACCAGTGCAAACCAAAATTTTAAATTTTATTATTAATATAAGAAAACAAACAGCTACTTAGGCGTCTCTGAGTGGTACAAATAGTTAACACCTGCAAAGTTGATCAAAAGGTTGGCAGAGACCACTCAATTTAGAGCCTAGTGATCTATTTCCAAAAATTAACCACTGAAAATTCTACGTTGCTAGGCTCTACTCTGACCCACCTAGGGTTGACATGACTTGGAATCAACTTAGCACCAACCGGTGCTAGTACTGTCGCAGCCATCCTTCAGCAAAGGTACCAACTAGAGTACAACACAAATGAGTGTTCATACTGCAAAATAAATTTCCCTGAGCTTCCTTTCTTTGCTTGCAGGCACCTCACGGGAGCCCTCGTGCATTTCCAAGGGCGTGACGTTAACCGCATCCCACTGCTATTCTGCTTACCTGGCTCCACTTCATGCCATCCGCTTGACTGACTGCCACTTCCTGGGGAGCGCCCTTGGCCTGTATAAAACGGCTCTTCACCAGGACTGTCCATTTCATCCTCCACAGACTTGAGGCGCTTGGTGGAGCTGAAATAGCAAATGGGTAAATGTTTAAAGAGCGATCCAAACCACCTTTTTCTTGGACATTGCACCTCTGGTTGAAAGCAAGCCAGGAGAGGAAGCAATCAGGCTGCTTCATGGAGTTCTAGGACTCCTTTCAGGCTCTGGTTCAGCTTGGTGAATCACGGGAGGTGAAGCACAGCCCTGGGTGTATGTTGTTCCAAGTGTCTGGGTTTGATTTTTATTGTCACTCAAGCTGCTGCTGCTGCTGCCACATCCTGTTCCCTTTTCCTTTGAGGAACTGGTGGCTGGCTGTGCTCTTGTTCCACCTGGAGCTGCCGGCAAGGAGCCCACATTTCCTGTCTCTCCAGGCGGTGGCTGGGAACTAGCCATTGGCAATGTACCTAGACATCAATTCAATCCCCACAGGAACCCCAAAAAAGGATAAAAAGCCAGGCTCATGACCTTCCAAAAGCTTGGATTTCCCCCGCCCCCCAGCTATGTTTTCTCATCTTCAACTTGAATTTACTCATACAATGAGTATTTACTATACAGCTTCAATAGTCCAGGTATTGTTCTAGACACTGGAGATAAAGGAGTGAACAAAACAGATCCAATTGGAAGGAAGGAGGGCACTGCCTTATGAAAACTGTTGTCATTGTTAGGTGCCATTGAGTTGGCTCTGACTCCTAGTGACCCTACATAAAAGAAAATAAAGCGTCACCTGATTCTGAGCCATCATCATAAGCTTTATTGTGCTGAAACCCACTGTTGCAATCATAGTGTTAATTCAATTGAAGGTCTTCAGCTCCTTCACGGACCCTCTACTTTTCTAGACATGACATCCTTTCCCAGGGACTGGCCCTTCTGGATAACATGCCCAAAACATTAGAAATGACATCTCAATGATGAGAACTGTGAATGGAAACAGTGGTCTGATTACCTATGCCCTTCATTTATGCACTAATTATGAAGATGAGTTCCAGGTCACTAAGCAATGAGCTTTATTTTTGAAGAGATATGAATAGGTTGAGATTGTCCACAGTACCAGCAGCCAAGAAATCAAAAGATTAATTGCATTGGGAAAGTCTGCTATCAGAGACCTCTCCAGAGTACTGATGAGCAATGATGTCAGTCTGGAGACGAAGGTGCACGTCATCCAGGCCATACTTTTTGCAATTACTTGTTGTACGTCAGAAAGCTAGACAATGACTAGGGGTGATAGAAGGTGAATTGATGCCTTTGAGCTGTGGTGCTGAAGAAGAGTACTGAATATACCATGGACTGCCAGGAGAACAAACAGGTTCATCCTAGAGAGGGTGAGACCAGGCTACTCCTTGGAGGTAAGGATTCTGAGGCTTCATCTGACTTACTTTGGGCATGTTTCAAGGAGGGACCAGTCCTTGGAGAGGGACATCATGCTTGGGAGTTCGGAGGGGTAACACAAGAAAGGAGACCTTTGATGAGATGGATTGATTCAGAGACTGGGATAATGGAGGTAGGTGTGTTAAAGACAATAAGATTGGCTCAGGATGGAACAGGATTTAGAGGTGTTGTACATAGAGTCACAATGGGTCGCAAGCAACTGGACGGCACATAACCATAACAATAACAATGAAACAAAACTTCCCAAATGCATACCATTTCTTTTGGCTAAAGGGCTGAATATTTTCCCCATTTGAAGCTTAAGAAGTGACTAAATCGATAGATCAGATCAATTATCTTTTTTTGGAAATACTACTAACTGTCATGGATTGAATTTTGACCCCTTAAAACATATGTTGGCATTCTAAACTCTCCATCTGTGGGTGTGGCCTTGTGTAGAAACGATGTTTTCTTTGTTATGTCAATGAAGTCTACCAGTATAAGTGATCCTAACCACTTCTAAGATATAAATAAGGGGAGGCAGACATTATCTGGTGATGATGGGAGATGAGTAAGTTCCTGCTACTAAAAACTGAAATATAAAGACTTCCGCTGCCCTAAACCATCCTATGAATTCAGACTTCCAACCTCTAGAACTGTAAAAAAAATTAATTTCTGTTTCTTAAAGTTCATTAGGAATGAATACAAAATGTAACGAACACAGAACTGTTTGGGGAGTTCTGGGCTGTGGTTGATAGAGTTGTGCTGCTAACCCCAGCGGGTATATCTCTTTGGTGGTTCAAATCTACAGCAACTCCTGGAGAAAAACATGAGCAATCTCCTCCTGTGTGATTTACAACTTCAAAAAAAACCTCCTGGACAGTCAACTATAAGCTGATTCCAACTCAAAGGCAATAAGTTATGTTTTCCCCCCTCAAAGTTATTGGCTGTAGTATTTTTATAACAACAGCACTAAGAAAATAAGACATTAATGCATTATGAAGATTGGTAGATTTCATACCAATGTTTAGTGTTTATTGAAAAAGGTCTTCCTCCTCCATCAGGGCATAACATTTTTAATACAACCTCATTACAGAAGCCCTCATGGGTACCTCCTCTCTGTCAGGTGTTTTGTCAAGGGCTGAAATAGAGAGATGACTCAGGCATGAGTCTTGACTTTATGGGATTTTCAGTCCACTGGATGGGAACAGATAGGTTAGCAAATGGTGTAAAAGAGACTTAGGGATTAGGATGGGGCCACATCTTGGACAGAGCAACCAAGGATGGAAGAAGTGAATGCAATGGGATAAACAGCCATGTTTTTACTGGGACGCCAGGAAATGTTTCCCAGAGAAAAATACTCCCAAGCAGAGTCTTTAAAAGCACAACTTCCAACCCCTTCTTCATGCTCTATCATGGTCTGAGAAGTGAAACCCGAAGAGAACCAGATTTTTAAAATTTGGTGAAGAGTGAGGACAACCTAAACAGGAATAATTATAGGTCAAAGTTTTGCTAGAAATGTTATTTTTCTCTCAGAAAACAAAGGCAACAGACACATTGCAGAGCAACAAAATCTTTTGCCCCTAAGGTTTTGAGCTGAGTTGGAAAAGGCAGTGCCCTGTTCAAAGAGGTGTACTGTTTCCCGTGGTCCTGCCAATTACCCAGTCTCACCTCTCAGACTCCTGGGAAGGGCTTGCTATGCCTCTTCTGAGTTGCCTATTCCATGGCTTCAGCCTCTCATTTCCCCTCTTCTGTTACTGGTCTGAAGAAACTCAAATTTTAAAAACTTGGGCCTGTCTTGGTTTCTTTTCCTAAGCAATCCTTGAACTACTGTGAATTGTTGTGAAGCTCTGTTTAAGAGGAAGCTTATCAAGGAGATACGTAACAAAGGGCAGAGTTGTTTATTATTATTATTATTATAGCATATTATTTGGCTTATGCACTGCTCAGGCAACAATGTTAGATTTTAAAATACTGAAGCACTTCTTTCCAAAGGTGGTGAAATGTGTTATTTTATGTGATCTTTTGTCTTGGTTCTTTGGAAAACTGCTTCAGAGATTTCCTTCGCCCTTAACCTGCAATAAACCCTTTAGAGGTACCTTTGCTTTTGTTCTCTACTATAGAGGTATGTTCCTTTTATTCTGATGGATCAACATTTCTTGGGTAAACTGCAAACAACTTGGGTTTAATATTTTTTTATCTGGCCCTAGGCTGAAGCCTGCCCTGAGACTGGTATGTACCTTGCAGGGCTTAGTAAAAACACTATGCAAATAAAGTTATTGTAGTTCATTAGGCAAAAGACGTGTGTGTACCATCTTAAGAGGGTATTGGTCAGTTGGAGGACCTGACAGGAAGGCCAGGCTTTACAATTTATGAGGAATTTGCTTATATATGCAGCCAGTGACACACACAGAGGCGTGTGAACAAGGAAGAAGGCAGAAAAAAGACAAGATGAGCCTAGAAGCAGAGTGAGAATGAAGGCAGAGAAGTTCCTAAAAGAGCTGTAACATGGATTAAGGACTGTAACACTAAGACATATAAGGCCTAGGAGGTGTCCTGCAGCAAAACCAGCAGTGACGGGCCCAGAAGGAGCCCTGTGGCAGAGCTAGAGGTGATGTCAGAAATCTGCTGCTAGGAACGCTTCTAAGAGAGATGAACAAAACTGCTACATTACCAGTTAAATGAAGGATGAGCTGTCTCCTGTGTGTGGTTTACTATCTCTTGAAAATCCACTGGAGGGTCAGCTATGAGTTGGTTCTGAGTCGATGTTAAACTACTACGCTCAACCATAAAGTGACTCACATAGCAATGGAGAAAGGCTGATGAGAAGGAAACAGAAGACCTGTCCTCCAGAAGCCAAGAGGAGACCGGGCCTGAGGGGACTGAGAAAAAACTCAAGAAGATCAAGAGCAACACGACACTGAGGAAGCAAAGAGGAGACCCCCATGGCAGAAAGGCTTGCATGCTTACTAGGTGGGAAGAGCTGAGAATCTTGTCAGGTGCTAAAGAAGGGAATTACGTGCTCTCTTCTTCAGGGGAGCCTCCGTACTATACCTATCTGCTGCTTTATCCTGAGTTGTATAGAGACAGTTATTTCTAATTCCAAGTTATATCCTGTTGCTTAATAAACCACTTACCTCTAAGTATTGTCTGTAGCCATTGCAACAGTTACTCAAACCTAGCAGACAGGGGTTACATCTCAACATCAAATCAAGAAGACAAAAATCTTTACCAATGGGCCAATAGGCAATATGGAGAAAATATTGAAATTGTGGAAGAGTTCACCTACCTTGGATCCACAATATATACTCTTGGTACTAGAAGTTATGAAATCAGAAGACGTAGCATTGGGAAAGTCTGTTGTCACAGATCTTTCTAAAGTCCTGGAGAGCAATGATGTCAGCATAAAGACTAAGGTGTGCCTGACTCAATCCACAATCTTTCGAATCATCTGCTATAAATCCAAAAACTGGACAATGAAAAGGATTAGAGGAGAAGAATCAATGCTTTTGAGTTGTGGTGTTGAAGAAGAGTGCTAAATATCCCATGAATTGCCAAGAGAATAAACATATATGTCTTGGAGAAAGTGCAACCAGAGTGCTTCTCAGAGACAAGGATGGTGAAGCATAGCCTCACAAACTTGGGTCATGTTGTTAGGGGAG